GTTTAATTGATGAAAAACGATTGGCAGCAGTATGCCATGGCCAGTTATATCAGAAGAGAATGGAAAGAGCATACAATAAGAAGGTGCGCCCTAGGAAATTTGAAGAAGGGCAGCAAGTATTGAAACGGATCCTCCCACATCAGATCGAGGCAAAAGGCAAGTTCGCCCCGAATTGGCAAGGGCCGTATATTGTGACCAGAGTATTATCCAACGACGCTTTACGTCTGACAGATGTCGAAGGAAGATGCGTCGACATGGCTATTAATTCTGATGCAGTCAAAAGATATTATGTGTAATTTCTTTTATAGTTTATTTGTTTGTTTGTAATTAGCGCTTATCGGATAATGAAATGACGGAGGCAATTCTTTCTTCTATCCAAACATTTTTAACCTTTGCTTTACCCCTTTGAGCCTTACTTATCCTTTTATACCCCTCTCTTGGAGTCATTAATGAAAAATAAAAAAAATAAAAAAAAAGAAAAGAAGGAAAATAATAACAAAAACAAGAAAAAAGGTGAAGGTCGCAAGAAAAACAAAGGAGTCAAGTGAACTACGTTCGACCCGATTCCTCAAAGAGGATACGTAGGCGCCTCACGGCTCGGTCATAATGTAACAAAAATCGAAAAAATTCCCCAAGCAAGAAAACTGGGGCAGAAGTTATGTTTTTAAATTTTGAAAAAAAAAAGTTTGATTCCAAGAGTTGTAATATTTTACCCATCAAAGTTATTTTGAATTTTATATCCTTTTCTTCTAAAACCCATATTGATATCCAAAAAAGACCTCCCGATCAGTATCCGAGGGGTACCAAGACAGGCAAATGAAAGCCGAGAATAACACGCTGGTCCCCGACTAAATAAGGATCATGAGCTGAAAGAATTGATAGCCATAAGAATTCCCAGCAGAGAGGATCTTACCGGCAACACTCCAATCCCCAGCTGAGAGAAGCAAAATGAGAGAGTCTTATCGGTGAAAACCTTCACAGGCACCATAAGGCGACGTAAGCTGAGAGAAGCAAAATAAGAGAGTCCTATCGGTGAAAACCATTCGCGGACTGTTAAACAGAGTCATTCTTTCCTCGATTCGGGATTCAACCGATGACTTGGGACACCATAAATCTCCCAAGTGGTGACTCTGAAATAAATAAACAAATCCCGTTTCGATTGTCCTTTAATTGGAAAAAACTCCATTTTTGTACTCTCGCGGGGCGGAAAAAGGAGGTGTGACAATACGTCTCACATTTGTATCTAATATGCATAAAGTGATAACAAGAGCATCATAGTGAGGAAAAACCAAACTGTGTGTATCTGACTTATCAAAGATGATACTTTCTTCGAGTTCATCGTACAGTTCATGAGTGATCGACCGTTTGAGTTTTTGTGTGGTGTGAATTTTATGTTGTTGATCGATGCGTCATCGCCCCCTCCGATGATCATTTGAATGGTTCGAGTTGGAGAAGGCGGTTTTGGTAAGCCCTGGTGCTGTTCACATCCTCGAGCGAAGTTAGCCCTTCCTCAGTCGCTCAACAGCTCTTTCAAGTGCCCTTGGTGAAGCATGTTGACAACCTCTTGTCTTAGAGCGATGTAGTCCTCGATTTTATGACCTCGTTCCTGGTAGAATTCCCATAGGGAGTTTGACTTCCTGGTGTTCGGGTCGGACCTCATCTTCTGTGGCCACTTCACTTTTGGGCCGAGCTTCTCCAATGCGTAGACTATTTCTGAGGGTGAAACACAAATATTGTGAGCAGATAGTAAGGGAGACATACCTTTCTCGCTTCAGTGAGTCCCTGTTCTTGTCCTGGATGGGCCTTCGTCGTGGCAGGAAGACGGCATGATGACGCCTCTGACATATGGTTGATGTCTTTCTCAGTTGTATCGTGGACCTTCTTGATCCCTTCTATTGTCGTTTCTCATGTCTTTTATGGACTCGGCTTGTACTGAGGTTAACCGTTAGGTCAGTCCATTTAGGTCGTCTTCGTCAGCTCGGACCTCGGCACAATAGGCGTTGTGTATTTCATCCCAAGTGGTCGGGGGATGCTTCGTGAGCCGACTCAGAAATTTTCTGGTCGCCTTTGAGCCGCTTTTGTTCAACCTATTTTGGAAAGCTGCCATAACTATTTCTTCCGATACATTCGGTAAGGTCATCCTTACACGATTGAATCGAGTGAGGAAGTCCCTTAGTCCTTCTCCAGGTGATTGTTTTACGGCAAATATATCATTCACTCTTGCCTCTGCCTTCTTAACTCTGGCATGGGCCGTTACGAGTTTGTCGACCATCTCTTCGAATGTTTCAATGGAGTGCGCAGGCAGTTGTGAATACCAAGTTAATGTGCCCCCGGTGAGGGTTTCGCTAAAATCATTCAATAAGATGGAGGATACTTGCTGTTTGGCGAGGTTGTTGCCTTTTACTGCGGTGACATAATGAGTCACATGATCCTCAGGGTTTGTCGTACCCTCGTATATTTTCAGGTACGACGACATTTTAAAGGTTTTAGGTATGGAATATGGTGCGGTGTCGTCACTGTACGGTTGCTCGACAGACCGACAAACATCTCTTTTTGGTAAGAGTTTTGGGGCGCCCGGTATTTTGTCTACCTTTTCTTGATGCTCTTTCATTTGGTCTCAGATCATCTTGTTTTCGTTTTCCATCTCTTCCATCTTCCTTAAAATGACTGTGAGGGTATCGTCACCTGCATTATTAACATTGTGAATGATACCTACTGCGGGAGGAGGAGGGCTATGTTGCTCGACTGCTATTGGTGCAACGCAAGTTCTTGAGATCTCTTTGATCGCCTTTTGGGTGGGTTTGTCGAGGATGCTTGTCAATGTGTTTGTCAGCCAAGCTTCGAGCAGCTTCTTTACCCTGATGGTGCCTCTTCCGTTGTGGACGTAGAAGCTCCTTTACCGTGGGATGTTGTGATGCTACCATGAGGAAGGGGTGAGCCACTTCGCTTGGGAGAGGTATTTGGTGTTATATCCTCACCCTCTATTTCAGAGATCTCGTTGATGGTGTTTAAGAGGTTGGCGGTGAGATCGGCTACCGCCTTAATCTTTTCTTCTCCGTTACCTGCCATGTTAGATCTGTGTACACAAGAGAGTAAAAGGTTTTACATTTTTTTTTGCTGGTTATCGATCTAGAAGAAACTAAAATTTTATCTAGGAAATCCCCACAGACGACACCAAATTATTTGATAAAAAAATATGAGCCTTTAGTTAAACTAATTAATTTATTTATAAGGGGTTAATCCTAGTTAAAGATAATAACTTCAGATCTAAAATCGGCCTACGTGGGTGATGTAGAATAGTGTCAGAACATATTTAATGTAACATGTATTTAATGTTTCAAGGTCGATAATGGGATGAGAATTAAAAGCATTAAATAACAATAAACGACACTAAATGTAAATAAGGAGAATGATTCACCCAATATTGAATGAGGTGGATGATTCTTCTTTCTGACAGTGATGAGTGACAAACAACTATGAGAATATTTGAGACTTTCTCGGATCTGATGGAAAGAGTATAGAATAATTAACAAATCAAATCTCTTTAAAAATGTGGTGTTTGTATTTATCTAGAAAGTCTGCTTTCAAGAGAGTTCTTATCAGAAAATATTACATGCCTTTCACCTTATCTCTCTTTCTATTTATATGAGACATACCTCTCATCAACCTTAAAAGTACAAGTACAGAGAATATTCAATGGAATATTCTCCTAAAGACCCTATTACAAAACTAGCCGTTACTGTTGCTCTTGACATTTGACCTCGGCCATGATCGACTGCTCGGCGATGAGTTCCATTAGTCATTAATCGACCTCGGCCAAATTACTTCTAATAATACCTCTTCGTGCCGAATATATTTAGCCAGATTTTGACACATACACTCTTCTCGTCAAAGAAAAGTTTATTTGAGTCGAACGATTGATCATGAAAGGTTAAGATGTGGGTTGTATTTTTTTCTGCTCTCAGGGAAAAGTTAAAAGAGAGTGATTTTATTATTTGTAAGAAATTAGAATGCAAATTACTGGTAAAAATAACACGGTATAGCCAGTTTTCGGATCGATCATTCAAAAATAGCCAGCGCTTACCTAGTCAATGAAAAATAGCCACTATTTTGCTGCAACAGAGACCGGTCCAGCATAATATACTGCATTTCGATGCACCTGTGTATGAACTCGAGCATATTATGCTGGACCGATATACTTTACTGGCTCCAGTATAATATATTGGAGACTGGAGCACCGATGCTCCAAACACCAGTATATTATGCTGGACCGGTATACTTGCTGGAACTCCAGTATATTATGCTGGAGTTTTAGTGTACTTATGCTGGAACTCCATCATATTTATCCTGGAACTCTAGTATAATATGCTGGAGTTTAAGTATACTTATGCTGGAATTCCCGCATAATATACTAGTATATTTTTCGGGTTTTGAACAGTGTTTTCGCTCAGATTTATCTTTACATGAAAAGTGGCTAAATTTCAATTACTTTTGAAATTGAGCTATTTTTGAACGACCAGTTATAAAACTGGCTATTTTTGAATTTCTCCCAATTACTGGGGGCAGCAAACGGGCGGGTCGGGTTGGATATGAGCGGGTTGAAAAAATGTCTGTAAAAAATCGATAAAGTATTCGACCCAATCCATATTTAATACGGATAAAAATAGGTTAACCGACGAATAATATGGATATTCATATTATCCATGACTTCTTGAATATGATCACTTTTGGGAGAATTATTAGTCTTCCAAACTTTCATTTATTTGAGTCTTTACAAATGTAAAAGTTAAACCCATTAGTTATCTATTGGTTATCCATTTTCTAAGTACATAATATAGTTTTATCCATATTTGATCCATTTTTAAAAAATTCATCCATTATGAGATAACTGTTTTTTTTAACCATATTTCAACCACTATAAATTACTAATATGAACAGAATAAGGTGCAAATTATAAAAAAGAACATATACATCATAGGTGTAAAACCCGAAAAGCTCACACAGAACCCATCTGCGGTGAAAACGCAGCAGCGGCAGTTCACTAGTAAGCCACCACCCAGCGCCGTTTTCCTTTGCCCCTTATTATTTTTTTTTCTTGGCCTTTTTATCCAAGTCTTTTCTTCTCTATTTTTTATAAACCCGCCTACCCTTTGCAACCCTCTTTTAACTCTCATCATCTATGGCTTCCTCACCCGAAGAAAATCGCCGACGGCCGATCGACGACGACGACGACGAGACCGAACCCGACGAAGACGTCGATTACGAAGAAATCGAGGAAGAAGACGAAGATGAAGAAGAAGAAGAACAGCCAAAGCCAGTTACCGAAGAATCTCGAATGCGTTCCGATAGGGTTAAAATGGAGAGTTTATTCCGGCGGCTATCTTCAGAGCGAGTGCCTTTACGAGTCCACGATGTGATTATTAAAGGCAATACTAAGACTAAGGAATCACTCATCGAAGTTGAGGTAGAAGCCCTAAAAAATGCCACTACTGTTCAGGAGTTGCTTAAGGCGGCTAGTATTGCTAATGCGAGACTTCAACAGCTTGATATCTTCGATTCCGTTAATATTACTCTTGATTCCGGCCCACCGGAGCTGCCTGGGACTACTAATGTGGTTGTTGAGGTTGTGGAAAGTGAAAATCCACTTACTGGAAGTGTTGGAGTTTTTTCCAAGCCTGAGGTATTTTATCAATTAACTCTGTTTATCTGAGTTTGATGTGTTATGTTTGATTATACGTTTAAATTAACTCAAACTATGAACGATTGATTGATGTGTGAATGAGGAACATGTGACACTTTACAATTAAAACATTTAATTGGCTGCACTACTATGAATGACTCAGAAAAATGTGCTCGTGTGCTGATGTGCATGTTCAATATTTGTCCCTTATTCAACCACTATACTCTAATAACTTAGATATGTCAGTTCCTAGTTTCATCTGTTTTAAGCTTGGAATGACAGCCAGTTGAACAGCCTAGGAAAGTGACGGCTTTATTCGTGGACTTGGACATCTTTGTGTATCTACAGTGTAACCTGTAGGTTCACTGGATCCAGTAGTTTTTGCAGGCCCTGTGTATGTATTAAGAAATTCACTAAATATCTATAAATATTTGACTATAAACCTTGTTATTTTCGTATAGTAACTTGAGGTCGTTGTAGGAACCCTTAAACTTCAAATCCTAGGTCCTCATCTTTCTATATTAAAATCTATTATACAGCATTGTTGGCATGTTCCCAAGTTCCAATCACTTTTTACCATGAGTGTGAACATGATATCCATGTCCCCCTTTGATATTATACATGGCAAAATTTTCTCCTCGTAGTATGGACTTGTCCTCCACGCAATAATTGATTTGTTGGATCAGACAATTTCCATTTCCTCCTTTTCCTCTAATTTCGGCCATCTGGTGTTCTTTCTTGTTGTCGTGGCAGCTTTACTTGAATTGTCCTATTTCTTATAGTCAGCTAAGTTTTGTCTGTCATGGATGTATGAAGATTTGCAAAATTATTCTCATGATTTATGTCTCAATTCTATCTTGATCGCCCTATCTTTGATCAAAACTTAGCTGGATTTTTATTACAGTTAACTAGGTTCAGATCGTTACCCCTTTTCCTTTGAATAAAATGACTTGTATATTTCTTTCTCCATTTTATATGTTCCTAAGTTTTGGTACATGTCATCCAAGGCATTTCCCAGCTTCGCCTGTCACCTCCTTAGCTTCTTTCTTTGCCCATCTTATACTCTTCAAGCTCCTAATCTGCTGTTGGTAACTTCATATTCTCTCATTTTGCTTTAATAGCTCTTTGCACCTCCTTACTCCTTTATCATGATTCTTATGGTTGAAGTCCTAGGCGTTTAGATATACCCAGAACTCCATTTGCTACTTTTTCTAATGCAACCTATCATTTCTTTCCGAAGGATGTCTGTATTGGCTTCTAAATATCATCCTCCTTCCTTCATTAGGTTGTCACTTCTGGTTTATGCATTTTAGCTTCTCTCACCAAATTTTTGGCTCCTCGTAGCTCTTCTAACTCTTTAGCTTCACATCCAGCCTCTAGGACCATCAGGTGGCTATGGCTTCTTTGGTATGATTTTGCAATTATTATACGTCTTATTGCTTGTTTCTCGTGTGTTCTTTATATGGATATCCAAGGGCAGAGGTCCATTCCCTTGACTCGTACTGATGAGAATTTGAGTCCATGAGAAATTGAACAAAAGGCCGTGGAATTAGCCTATTTCTTGCGTGTACTTTCAAATATTATCAACTGTGATTCCTTCTTTTAAAATAAGTATTGGTTAAAACTGGATCATAAGTTAGATGAGCCTCTAGACAGCCTTCCACTTATGCATTTTCGGATGCCACAACTATTTCTCCATGTGTTTGGTCGAAAGCGTTGCTCTATCTAGTTATATGTCCCCGCAGATCTCTCTCAAGAACTAATAAAGTTCTGTTGGTCATTACCTGTCAAAAAAGTAAATATAAATTTTGTTGGTCCTTTGAATTCTGTGAATGAAGGTATAGTATCTTCCGAATTTAGTTTAATTTCATCATCCAATGGTATTTGTAGACCATAGATATTAATGATACTGTTCCCTTAATAGTCTTAACGGGATTGTGAAAAAAGAAAAAAGAAAAAGAAGAAGAGAACTTGTCTTGGATTGGTTCTTGAAGCTTTTGTCTTCCATTTTCCTCTCTTTTTTGTACTCTTCTCATCCCCTTTAACGCCCTAAATACCGAGATTCATAAGCATCACAGAATTTGATAAATATTCCACACTACTAACCTAAACATACGATGAATCTAGAGCATTCTAGCTTATAACTATTTTAAATCCCTTGATCAAGTCAAAATAATGAGCAGCTTTAGTTTGTATGTTAAAGCAGGAAAGTCTGTCTCAGAAAAGAAACGTATGAAAGCAGGAAAGTAAACTATGTCGGGAAAAGTTATTGATTAAAGGAGCAATTATTTTTTGATAAGAATGATAAAAGGAACAACATATGCATATTATTGTTGAAATAGTCTCTCCGAAATAGTTTGCAATCACCAAAAAGAAAAGCGGTGTTACTTCATCAAAAATAAGAAAAGTGGTGCTGGAATTCTTTCTTTCAGAAATTTGGCGGTAACTGCACAATGAAAGAATGTGCTTCTTATCCCACATATGAAAGGGTCTATTTCTCAATTTTCAGAGAGAAGTATCTGTTATAAATCTCTAGGGCTTCATTAACATTGCTAGAATGAGGTTAAAGAGTAATTGGAAAAGTTGTTGAAACTCAGAGTAGGAATCAACATTTAGAGGAGGGACTCATTGCAAATATTATAATTTCGTGAAGTAAAATAAGGGAAGACCTTTTAGAACTTTGACTGGAAATTCAAATTGAGACAAGGGCCTCAATAGCAAACCCTGATACTATGAAGGATAAAAAGAGAATAAGAGTTTCTCGGGATAGTTGCCAAAGACCTAATATTTAAAGAAGAGAGTCAATAACCAAAGTTTGATACTATAGAGAAAGATGAGAGAAAAGACTCAAGCTGTTATGTTTTTTCCACTTCAGTTTGCATGTGTAACTAAAATCTGTTCTGTGATCTTGCTATTGGTGACAATATATTGGGTTCTCTCACATGGTGTGTGAACATGCTTTGGAATTATAGAAGCAGCATGCTTTCATCAGTTGCTGTTTTTTCTCTTGGATTTTGATTAAAACTTCAATTTGCTTCTGTAGGCTAGAGCTTGGTCGCTTGAAGGTTCATTGAAGCTGAAAAACTTGTTAGGTTATGGGGATATATGGGATGGGTCTTTGGCTTATGGCTGGGACCTCACTTCAGAGGTTAGTGCTGGTGTGTCTCTACCCAGATTCAAAAGATTGATCACCCCTGTGACAGCTCGATTATCTCTTCTTTCTCAAGATTGGCTGAAGTTCTCCTCTTACAAAGAACGAGCTTTGGGACTTTCTCTTGGCCTACTGTCATCTAGAAGCCATGATTTGACATACAGTCTCTCTTGGCGAGCCTTGACTGACCCATCACAAATGTCATCGAGAGCAGTGAGGAGACAGCTTGGACATAGTTTAATTTCAGCTCTAAAGTATACATTTAAAATTGATGGGAGAAACTCTCCTCTGAGACCAACCCGAGGATTTGCCTTTCTTTCATCTTCTCAAATTGGTGGCCTCCTACCAGATCACCGGGGGTTACGCTTTCTCCGTCAGGTTCGTACAGTTCATTGTCTGTTATTTTTTTTCTCAAATAGATTTTCCGTCTGTGTGACTGAAACCTCTTTAAGTTTTTCTTAAATAATGTCTGTTACTAGTGTGATATCTAGGTTTGTTTTGATGTTGAACAGTTAGATTTAACTGCAGTTTTCCTTCTACCCATTCTGTTTTGTTGTTTCAGTTGTAATCTATATCTCACTGTCATTTAGATCGACTGCTAGTGGCAGTAGAATAGTTTTGTAACTCGTCATGGCCATCTTGCCTGGTATCTATCAATCATATATTTCCCACCATTATGACAGTCTTATTCTGAACCTATCTATGCTTCTGAACTATCAGATCCACTGTATAACAAAACTTATGGATCTCTGAACAGGAGTTGGACTTCCGCTATGCTTTACCTCTGGGATTTTATAATGCCGCTCTCAACATTGGAATTTCTGCTGGTGTAACTGTCCCATGGGGAAGTGGGTTCTTAAGTCTGCCTACCTTTTTACCTGAGAAATTTTTTCTGGGTGGTAATTCTTCTCCAGTTTGTGCACTTGGGGGGCCATCATCTTTATTGGGCTTCAAGACCAGGGGATTGGGACCTGCTGAACCTAGAAGGCAAGTTGTAGAGAATTCCAGTGATGAGAGCTATGATGCAGCTTCTGCAATGGATTTTGTGGGAGGAGATCTCGCTGTTACTGCTTTTGCAGACCTTTCTTTTGATCTACCATTGCGGGTATTGAGAGAAGCTGGGATTCATGGCCATGCTTTTGCTTGTACCGGAAGCCTGAACAAATTAACAGAAAATGCCTATAAAGATTTGTCTTTACAGAAATTCCAAGAATCATTCCGAGCTTCAGCTGGATTTGGTGTCATTGTACCGACCAAGCTCTTCCGAATGGAGGTAAGTAATCCATGTTAAGATCTGCTTGTGGATTTTCCTCCTCCGCTGTAAAAATTTGTTCCCTTGTCCATTATGCACATACAAGCTACGTGTCTTTTTAACTGTTGCACCGATATTCACTGGAGTTTCCACTTCTGGGGGTAAAGAACAAAAGTGAGACTCAATTCTGACCACCTGATGAATAATATGGTGTCTTTGGACTGGTCATCCTGTTAAAAGACGGGTGGAGAGGAGGGGCAGAGAGCGAGGTTCTGGAGGAGTGAGGGGGTTTAGGAGAGGAATGTTGTCAAGAGAATTTTCTTGAAATTGCTCAGTGATGCACCTCAACCGTTGAAGCAAATAATCTGTTGGGAAGAGATTGAATTAATAGTTTGGTTAGGCTAGTCTTTCTGCCATGTGGAGCCTATGATGGCTTGCTATGTTGACTTAGGAAATAAGAATAGAAATTACATTGAAAGAAAATGTTTCTTTTTTTAAGTTCGAACCATGCTGTAGACAAAAGCATGGTACTTAAGTGGAGAAGGGTAGAGGGCTGGGCTCCCGTGCGCCATAGGCCCTCGGGGATCTTTCGCTTATTGNGGCTTGCTTGCTCAGTTTCTTTGCATTAGCTACTGAAGTGTATGCTGCTTTGGGATTTATTGCTAAGTGTTGTTAAAAACTAGCTTGAGGCGCACTTAAAACCTGAAACTAGTTGTAGCGCAAGCTGGATGTTTCACCTCACTTCGATGGCGCCTTAGTGCATATACTAAGGTGTGTCTCGTCACTCACAGGCCTGCACCCAGGAGGGCGACATGACATGATATTCATAGATCGTAAATTGAAAGAATGAATGTGTGAGCTTTTAGGAAAGAGAAATTTAGGATTTAGTGTAAGAAAACTATTTTGTAAATTTGAAAAGAAACAAATAGGGTACTTTTGCATCCGAAATTTATACATGGTTTTCAAAATTGGCCTTTCATCACTTCATACATTTCACTTAATTGTATAGTGTTTCAATTCCATTATCCATATAAATGCTTTTTGGTTTTATAGTATTTTGCTTGCATTGACAAGGGAGAGGTATATCCTATTGGTAAAGGACCCTCCACNGGGGGGGGGGGGGGGGGGGGTGTATCCTATTGGTAAGGATTCTCCACTCCTAACCTTTGGTTGGAGGTTGAGTCCCCAATGGGAGCAAAGTGAGAACAAGCAAGTGGTGCACTTCTGTGTTGGGTGGGTGGTTTTACCAAGCAAAAAAAAGTTTTATCTTTTTTCTTGTATCACATATATATGATTTTTATTTGCTCTTCAATTGGGCCTGTCTCCACTAAAGCTCCTTCAGAAATGCTATGTGCTTTGAGCAATAAGCCCAACAAATTTTGGCAGTTGTCTATGTTTCTTGCCTTTGGCAACACCTATGGCTCGATAATTATCTTAATCTGAATTTGGTATCAGATGTTCAGACGCATAAATGTAGTTGATAAGAGTCGAAATTACAGGATGATATTGGACATAAATTCTTTGAACTATTCTGTCTCAAGTGCTTGACTTTCTGATTATATCACCAGGTTAATTACTGCTACATACTGAAGCAGCAAGAGCATGACCGAGGGAAGACTGGTGTGCAGTTCAGCTTCTCTTCATCTTTCTAGATGCTCAACGTTGCATGTTATGTTGTGAATTGATAACGGCATAATTTTCTTCCAGTAAAATTGACATAGTTTTATCCCGCATTTCTCTGTTTTGTCTGAGATGCGAATTTAGTCGGCCCCAGGAAGTGCACTTCAGTTTCAAACTATGGACATTTTTCAACCCACTGTTACAAGCAAATAATTGGTGGTGAGTATTAGTATACATGGTTTCCCTCCGACTGGAATTTTATGGACGATGAATACTGTGATTTTCTAGCGGGTGAAAAGATCCTCTGCCCCACATTCCCTTTTTACTTCTTCTCATAATTCAGCTTTCGAATTGATGATTTCGATGTGCTATACCTTGTATGAAGAACTCACTCCATTACAGTTCTTTAACGGGCAACCTGTGATTTGTTTGCAGGATTCCTAAGAGATCTGCTCCTGCATGTCTTCAATTGTCCAAAAGTAACTTTTAGAAATGATGATTTATCTACTCCCCCCTCCCCCTCCCCAACCCCCCGGGAATTTAATTAGTAGTACTTAGTTATGATCGTATTGGCAAGACATCCTGCATGAGAAACCAAATAAACGAAGACATTCATTTATAAAAAAAATGTAGGGTTATGACTTTTCCAAGTTTATGTTGGTTTTAATGTTTGGGCAAAGATTGCTTTTGGCCTGTGGCTGAAATTATTTACACTTGGTAGCCACAAAAATGTATGAAATTACATATACAAAAAATATGAGTACAGTCAGACCTCTCTGGACCTTTCTATAACAGCATATCTATATAACAATATTTTTCACTATAAAAGCCGAACTTTTTTGGAACCAATTTTTATGTTATGTTATAATATATGCTCTATAACTTGTATATTTTTTCAGTGGTTATTTTGAGAGCCGCTATACAATGTCATTTTGCCTTAATATTTTCCGTTTATTAAGGTATTTAGATAAACAATCAAGCTATTACAAGCCAATTAAAAGGAGAATAATAAATTCATTACATGAAATAAATGGATAACACGACCTCTGTGCCGTGACCTAAGCCTGACACTGTAAATCGAAGAACAACATTAGGCATCACACACACAAGTTGTATTCTTTACCAAATGGAAGTACCTGAAAACTTAGGTATTTATAAATATTAGACCCAGTTTTTGCCATTTTCTTTAGAAACCTGTGGCTAGCTAGTTAGTTTCCCCTTTTTTTAAATTAAAATTAAAAAAAAAAACAATAAGAACATAATATGTAGTGTACAAATAAATATCTATGGTAACTTTACCCAAATACTTAACCGCCGTTTCATCCTATCCATTTCATAATGCAATCTCAGCCATTGTGCTGAGAAAGTGGGTAGGGCCGATATAGGTTGTATAAATCCAGGTCCATGACTTAATCTTTCATTAAGTCTAATGAAATAACCTAAATTTGTAGACAAGAGAGAATGTCCTATGGTTAGCTATTGCTTTTGACACACGTTAGTGGTTGCGGAAACAAATGCATGTCTAGTAGCATAAATTGACAAGAACATGTCATATAGAGAAACTACTCAATAGGGTCATGATTTACATTAATGGAAAATGGTATGACGATCATATAAACAGAGAAAGATCCAAGATTTGAATTTTATGAGTTTCTACAACGATTTTGATCTATATACACAATAATTATTGGGTTCACAGTTAAATATTTATAGATATTTAATGAATTTCTTAATATAAAGACCAGTCGCCAACGAGGTAAGTACAACAATTGACTACACTACACATATGAATTACATTCCAGGACGTCCTTATAGTTTGAAATTAAATTACTCTAGTTATAAATAATCTTTGAGATATAAAGAAATAGAATACCAGAAGTTCTGATGCATGTGATTTAAGTGAGGAAATTATAGAGGTACATTATATTAAAAAGTACATCGTTTACTATTCTACTTAGAAAATTATTGTGTTTGCAATAATATTATTATCGAGTATAAATGACAGTGTTTTATGTGTTTTCGTAGAGAAAATCTCTTTCGACGTTGATTAGTAAACTCATGCCAAACTTCCCATTTAACCAATAAATTAAAGAAGCTTGAAAAGTTCAGCTTCAATGATAGGGAGTACAAGAGATTAGTAATACTCGTCCTATGCAACAAGAGATATGCTCTTGACGACTTAATTTGACTAATTCTCTCAATTTAAACTCATTGCTTTCACGATAAGAAATATCGGCACTTAAAATAATAAGATAAAGAATAAGGCGAATAATCTCACAAGGTTACCACCAATAGAGGTAATGGGATGGATAAGATTTCATCGCCATTAATTAATGGTCGGTGGTTCGAGCCGTGGGAGTAGATAATTTTTTGATAGGGAGTGCTTGCCCTATATAGCGAATATAGATTAGTCAGGTCATTCGGCTCCGGATACCAACTACAATCAGACCGTTCTCTAACAACATCCTTATATAATAACACTTTACTCTAAAAACCAAGTTTTTTCGGAACCAAATTTCATGTTCTATTATAATATATATTTCTCTATAGTAATAATTCGTTATAACATCTAAAAATATCCGGAACAAATGAGGCTGTTATAGAGAGGTTTAACTGTAGTTGAACCATAAAACGAAACAAATTTCAGTAGGTTGACAAATCAAATCTAAGAAAGTGGTCCTAATTCTCTCAATCTAATCTCATTTCTTTCACGATAAGAAATATTAGCACTTGAAATAAAGAAGTTAAGACTAAGAATAAGGCAAATAATCTCACAAGTTTAGGTTACCATGCACCAACGGATGTAGCGGGATGCATAAGATTTTTTGGCCATTAATTAAAGGTCCCGGGTTCAAGCCTGGAGAGTAGAGAAATTTTTAGTTGCGAGCGCTTTCCCTTAACATGCCCTATACAGCGAATCCGGTTACTAAGTTCTAGATACCAAATGGTTGAACCAAGAAAACAATAAAGATTCACTAGTTTGACAAATCAAATCTTAGAAAGTCCATAGTACTTAAGATGTGGTCCAATGCATAAACACACAAACTTGTACGAGTAATAATACTTTACGCTGGTGGCTTTAATATCTTGCTTATGTAGATTTTGAATCTACATAACCACTAAACTACACTTTTGGATTGTGTTAAGAGTATTCAAAATTTAATATATAGAGATAAAAAAAATAGATTTTGCCTTATATATTCAGTGTAATTTTTCGGCGAAGGGTGTTCGGGTGAACACCCTTGCGCCCCCCTAAATCCGCCCCTGGCTGAAGCCTGAACAAGAAATATTTTCAGTATAAGAAAATTCAAATGTTTATTTGTCTTGTTCTAAGTCCAATTTAATTGAATAATACCAATTCTCTAGCGTGTTTAATTTTCGCTTCACGATATTCAGTCCTCATTGCTACATATTTCCCAGAATTTTCTTTAACTTTTCATAGAAACGTACATTCTCCATTTGATAAGTCAATCATTGACCCTTAAGTCACCAAGTCTATGTAGAGCGAGGCCTATAAATATGTTTCCTTATACATTGCAAAAGATATCATAAACTACTTCAATAATATTCTCATTACATACACTTCATAAGTTCAACAGTATTGTCCAAGCCTTCTAGATCAGTTTTATTACCCTCTTTTGATTAGAATATCAGTTTAAAAGATTAAATTATCATAAATGGAGAGAAAAACATCTCAAATCCAACCTCCAACTTACGGTGATTTAATCACTGTTCTTAGCATTGATGGAGGTGGCATTCGAGGAATTATTCCAGCTACCATTCTCAGTTTTCTTGAAGCTCAACTTCAGGTCAATTTTCTTTTACATACATATGTATGATATAATGATCAATCCATTTCCTCTTTTTAATTTTTGCATGCATGGGAAATAAAATTTATAGCATGAAATTTGCAGGAGTTAGACGGCAATGATGCGAGACTTGCAGATTATTTTGACGTGATTGCTGGAACGAGCACTGGTGGTCTTGTGACGGCCATGTTAACTGCTCCTGACGAAAATGATCGTCCACTTTATGCAGCCAAAGATATTACCCCATTCTACTTAGAGCATTGTCCAAAGATCTTTCCACAAAAGAAATGGTATATATACAATTACTATATAAATTTCTCTCTGGTACTGTACGTTTCCATTCTTTTTGTGCTAACGATAACTAACCGAATTTTACAATTTTGATGAATTAACAAATATGTAGCGGTTTGTTTGCTCCAATTGGGAACATGGTGCAAGCTATAATAGGACCAAAATACGATGGAAAATACCTGCATGAAGTCGTCAAGGAGAAGCTGAAAGATACTCGTCTTAGCAATACGATTACTAACGTTGTCATTCCTACTTTTGATATCAAGAAATTGCAGCCTACCATCTTCTCCACTTATGAGGTACATATCTGTCTAAGTTCGTCTTAATTCATCACTTAATCATATTAACTATTTTGGTTTGATGCAAACGTACGTGAGTACATGTTTACCTTTTATTTAGTTTTTACCAAATATGGGATCTTGATTATTTGGATGCAGACGAAACGATCAGCATGTTATGATGCAAAACTCTCTGATATTTGTATCAGTACATCAGCAGCTCCTACTTATCTTCCTGCTCATTATTTCAAAGTTGAGGATGGCAAAGGCAATGTAAAAGAACATCATCTCATTGATGGTGGTGTTGCTGCAAATAATCCGGTATATATACACACTTTACTACTCTCTCCGTCCTATTTATTGGTGATGTTTAAATATCGAGAGTTAAACGAGTTTGTCTTTGACCACAATCTTTTCATATGCCTTTTGAATATTACTCCATCAATTTTAATTTATGTGAAACTATTTGACTGTGCACAAAGTTTAAGAAAGAAATGAAGAATTTTAAAACTTGTCCTAAACAAGCCATAATATTTGTGTGGTTATATTTCTTTTGAAACTTGTGGTGTTAAATATGCGGGAGTAAATAGCTATAAAAACTTCTCATTGAGGGTAGGATTGGAACTTCAAATTAAATTCTTTCCTTATCTAGAAAAAGATCATTCTTTTTTTGGAACTGACTAAAAAGGAAATCACATAAACTGGAACAGAAGAAGTATAAATTATTAATTATTGTGACTTATATTACTTTTTATATAGTTTCCAAATATATAAATTTTATTTCTAAAAACTTAAAAATTCTATGTTATATATTGGCATGTGTTTTCTGCAGGCTTTGATTGCAGTATCAGAAGTAAGCAAAGAAATATTGAAGGACAACCCAGATTTCTTCCCTATAAAACCAATGGATTACGGGCGTTTCCTTGTAATATCAATAGGGACAGGATCTGCAAAATGGGAACATAAATATAATGCATCAATGGCCGCCAAATGGGGTATTGTGGATTGGTTATTTCACAAAGGTTCCACACCACTAATCGAAGTGTTCACCCAATCAAGTGCTGATTTGGTTGATTACCATAATTCTGTTGTTTTCCAAGCTCTTCGCTGTGATGATAATTACCTTCGAATTCAAGTATGTAGTGTCATTTTTATTCTTAATTATGTTTTTTTTCTCTACTATAGTCTATAGTGGAAGGGGAGCTTTGGAGCAACGGTTAAGTTGTCTCCGTGTGACCTATAGGTCACAGGTTCGAGCAGTGGAATTAGCTACTGATACTTGTATCACACCTCCTTGGAGTGCGACCCTTCTCCGAACCCTGCGTGAACGTGGAATATTTTGTGCACGAGACTACCCTTTATTACAATGGTTGATTAATATTTTCTTGATTATTGAAATTAACAGGAGGATGAACTGAATGGAACAGAAGCCTCAGTTGATATAGCCACAAAGGAAAATTTGGAAAGGCTAGTGGAAATAGGGCAAAATTTACTAAAGAAGCCACTTTCAAGGGTAAATTTGGAGACGGGTTTGGCAGAACCAATTCCTAAAGGAGGAACTAATGAAGAAGCCCTTAAAAGGTATTGAAACATTGATAATACTTTGATAAATTAAGGTAGGAAATATGTCAAAAGTATAAAAACAAAATAACGCTTTTATTGGCCACATGTGCATGGTAAACTTTGTGTATAAAAAACAGGGACAACTAGAAAAGGTGTTAGAAAAGTCCTCTCTTGTCCTTTGTGAATAATATAATTTAATTTGTTCTCTCAGTACGTAATTAAGTTAAACTTAATGTATACAATCACTTGAAGTTATCTTAATTTGAAAATATGAAAACAAGTTAACTTATTAAGTGTTTGTATATTTCTTTTGATGACAGGTTTGCAAGGTTATTGGTGAATGAAAGAAGACTTCGCGAATCAAGATCGCCACTTATCAATAAATAAAGTCTCGAACTAATGCAGTCTATCAAGAAAATCCTATATATATTCTTGAAATCCAAGCAATATGTTAATTATTTTAATTCCAACGAAATTTCCCTTTTTTTTGGGGGATTAGGTATAGAATATTCTGTATAGAATTTATTTATTTATTTATATTTGCGGCAATAATTTAGAAGTGTGCTCACCACCATTCAATTTGACATATGTAAGAAATGCTCTATAGAGTAGTATGTTGTATGTAACATCCCCGTAATTCATACTAATGTAAATGTGTTTTACTCATGATAGTATGTAGGGCTGATCATATAATTGTTATTTTTTTCACCACAGTCATATAACTTGTTTCCTCATACAAAAATTATAATGATCAGAAAACACAGTTTATGATAGTATTTTCTTATTCTATGTTTTTATTTTTTATTTTTAATCTAATAAATAATAACTTTAAAATAGGTGAAATATATATTTTTAGCCGCTATATATATAGTTTTGCCCTACAAGAATACTCTTACAAAATCCATAAAAAATAGTTTTCTAGTTATTTTTGATTTTTGTAGAATTTCTAGGAATTGCTATTTATTTGTTTGCATTTAGTTACATTTTTGTGTATATTTAATATCTTAAAATTATAGAAAAATCATAAAAATCTTCAAATCTTCATTCCATATCATTTTAGGTTTAATTGCATTTTTTGGAATTAATTACTTATTAATTATAGAATTAATACATGAAAATCACAACAAAAGTACATTGGTAACTTTACATGCATTATTAGTTAATTATTAGAAAAATAGGTAAGTAGATTTAATTTTACAAATAAGATTTGAGTTAGGATTTAATTTAGGATTTTAATTAACTTGGCTAGATTTTTAAAATCAAAGTAAGAAAGAAGTAGGCTTATTTGGATCTTTATAATGCATATGGGCCAGTTCATGGTGAGGCCCAAACTCCACCAAAAATCCGCCCCAGTCCATTCCCAAAATCGGTCCAGGTCCCCTTTAGCCAAACGACATCGTTTTGTCAATTCTTATCCTTACCCTTCATCTGCCTTGATCCGACAGTGCAGAACTCACCCACCCAATCCCTTAAAACTGTCTCAAACATCCCCTCAAAACCTAGAGACACTCCCATTCTTCACCTGCCTCACTCCCTCTCATATCTCTATCGAACCCTAGCCACCCAAAAACCCTTTGCCGGTGGTACCACCCCAATCGACCCCAAACTAATACTCGTAATCCTCGTCCTCTCCCCATCCCATATCCCCTTTCAATTTTCTTCAAGAACAACCTAGGTTTCTTTAATTTTCGGATCTGAGAAATCTCAAAACCCTAGTTTCATCCCTCTTTGATTTTCTTCAATGGTTCCTAATCAGTTTGGCTTAAAACTAATATTGATCTATTGCTCTTGTCAAGAGAAACTAATTAATGTAAGTTTTAACTTATTTTCGAAGCCGGTCCATTTGGTTCAACATGTATATCTCTATGCTCCATTTTTTGCTCACGTTTGTTGTTATGGAGTTTTTCGTTGCCTCATGCTTGTTGGTCCATTAGTTCTTTGATTTTTTGTTAGATAATCAAACTTGCATGTGCATTTTTAGGTGTTTAATTTCTTAATTGCTTATTGATGATTGTTAATTTGCCGGTCATTAAGTAAGTTTCTGTGTTATTTATTTTATCATAACCATAATCAATTAAACAAAAGTTTTATTGCTGATTAATCAATTTAGGATAATTTGATTTGGTCGTTTGAAAGAATTGAACATTTGAGCTTGGGCAGTAGTTTTGAAATCCTTTGGATTTAAGCCTAGTTTAGGATGTATGAAATTAGGCAGGGGTAAAAGAAAAGAAAAGAAAAAAAAGGGAGAGTAGTAATTAATAGAAGATAAAATGGATTAATTGGGAAAACATAATATAGAATTTAGGGTAGTTATGTAAGACGCTTCTAGAGAGGGATTAAAATGCAATAGGAGAAAGAAATTAGGTCAAATTTGGGGTAAAATGGGTCATTTCAAAAGTTTATGGGGTTAGAAAACAAGAAAAAAAATATCTGAAAACGCAGAGCTGTACAAAAATCTATTGAAAAGATGCCCTTTTTCTTAGTTTTAGGGACTGCACATTCCTAAGATTATTCCCTCATCATTTTGCACATAACAGATTCTCACTCTCTATATAAGACCTCACATTCCCTCACTTACACACACCTAATTCTCTGCAAAAACCTCACACGTATTTCTTCATTCACATTGATTTTTTCCTAAAAAACAAAAGCTGAAAGTTCAAGTTAAAAACAAACAACAGAAAACAAAAAAAGAGAAAGATTCAAAGTTGCTTTTCTTCTAATTTTTGCTGGTTCAGCTTTACTTTTCTGGAATTTCGAGTGGTATTCAAGCTTTGAAACTTTTTGTTAATTGTAAGCTTTCTGTTGTTTATTGCTGGATGGATCCTCACCTTTCATCTTTATTTTGTCAAATCCATCTATTGATTCGGCATCTAGGTATGTGGAATTTTCTCTGTAATTCTCTATTGAATATGGATATGACGAGTGAACTGTTGATTCCATGAGCATTTCTAAATCTATGTGTTCCTAGTGCTGGTTATTATATTTGCTTACGTTTGTTCTGTTCATGAAATTGTATACTTAAGCTAAAATTTAAGCTGAGATCACCTGCTACTTCAAAGACTTCATTTGCTGATCTATTATTTGGTTCGATCTCTACCTAAGTATGCTTAAATATGTTGCATTGAAATGGAATTTACCCCCTCCCCCCAATTTGGAAATTAGTTTGGTTTGGTCCGGTTCATCAATCATGCTTAAAGAGCACTTGTTAAAGTTCATCAGTCTTCAAGTTTGATCACCAGTTGGCCAAATTTGATGATTGAGAGGTTCCAGGCAGTATTGAAATGCGTCAGTTGATAGTCTTGCCCTTTTGCGAGCAATAAGGAGGAATCTGGAATCAAAACATGGGCATTCTCATATTTTCTTTTAGCTATTACGGTTGTATTTGATAGGAATAGTCACTGTGATGTACTAATTCTATGTCACGACCCCGGTTCACCCTCCATGAACCATCGTGACAGCACCTAGTCTTCTACGACTAGGTAAGCCTAAATTGCGGAAGATAACCAAAGTGCAGAATAAAAACAAATTAAAACAAAATGAAGAGTGTTAAAACAATGTTTAAAAGCGCCACTCGGTATACACAATATTTAACTCTCAAAAACCAATACGTATCTCCAAGACTCGGAAACCCATGAATCACAAGCTAAGGATCACTACACAGTACTCTAACTACAGAATATCTAACAAGGAAAGGAAATGCAGAAGGGCCAATGTTTAAAAGCTAGAATAGAAAGGGAATCCTCGGTCTGCGGACGTGGCAGATATACATCGAAGTCGCTGGAGCAGTCGCTTCGCTTCAAGGGTGATAGGACTGAGTCGCAGTATCTGGATCTACACATGAAAAACATGCGCAGAAGGGGCATGATTACACCATATCAGTACTCAGTAAGTGCCAAGCCTAACCTCGGTCGGGTAGTGACGAGGAAGGTCAGGACCCTACTAAGGTTAAATAAAGTATAAAGTTTGGCAGTGTAGAACAGAACAATATAAATAAATACAACAGTAAAAGTAACACATGATATAAAAAGGGCAACAACAACTATTACAAAGACAAGGCAAAACACGGAAGGAAATGCGACTTAGCACCCAAAATAACAACCGGGGATCTCCCAGGATACCATCCTGTAGTCCCATATATACATATCCAATGGATCTCTCCGGATCCTATCCCGTAGTCCAACTCATAGTACGCGGGGATCTACCGAAATCCCGTTCCGTAGTCCCAAATGTAAATACCCAGTACTGGGGGAATCTACCGGGTGCATTCCCGTAGTTCCATATAACTGTGCAGGGGGATCTACCGGAATCCCACATCCGTAGTCCCAATGTAAATACATAGCAGCAACAGGAAAATATTCAGAAATGACAATTTCATATTAAGGCGAACAAGTAATTATAGCCTAGCATGCTGCACAGAATTCAGATAAGGCAGTTTGAGAAAGTAAAACAATTAAGTCACTTAGACATGCTTTCCTAAGCTAACAACATGCTTAATAGTGCAAGTAATAAAAATAGGAAAGGAAACATACTAGTAATTACTTAATGAAAATCGGATTTCCAATAATTAGCACAAGTATGAACTCGTCACCTCACGTACAAGGCATTTCAATTACCAAATATACCAAATCCTAAGGGGAAGGTCCCTCACACAAGGTTAGACAAGCCACTTACCTTGAACCGACTCAAAATCAACCCGAAACCACGCTCTTACCACGAGTACTCGACTCCAAATGACCCAAATCTATTAAATTCAATTGCATAATGTAAATAACACTTCAAGTAACTGATTCTACAAAGAAATTCTAAGCTAATACGCAAAATTAGGTAAAATGACCAAACTGCCCATGGGGACCACGTCTCGAATCAGGTAAAATTTATATTCAGAATCCTCACACTCTCACGAGTCTAACCATACCAAAATTATCTCAATCCAATGTCAAATCC